ATTGCATTACTTCAACCAAAAGACAAAAACAAAACCAAAAACAAATATTAACAAAAACAGTTTAGCAGTATTGGCAGCAACCGAATGAATTTATTAAGCAATCTAAGTGAAATGGTTAATCTAAGTGAAATTACGAGTAAATTTATCATCAAGTTAAATATGAAAAATCTTAAACTTACCTCGTTGCGTAGAGTATGAACCTCATTCTGCAATGATGCTACCATCTCACGTAGAGCGGCTACCTCACCGCGTAAAGTAGACACCTCAACACGCCATGCACCATCGTCTTTGCTTAAAGTACCGACCTCCTCACGCAAGGCATTGACCTCATCACGTAACTCTCCTAACTCATCCCGTGGAGGTGGAGGTGGAGAACAGGGAGATAAACGTCGTGGCATCTTTGCCGGTCGCCTATCTTGCGGTGATGGTGGAGAAGAGGCTCGATGATGTGATATAATAGGTGATGGCTGTCGTTGTGGAGGTGTATAGTCGGGTCGATCAGGTGATGGCACTGGGTGAGGTGATAGCTCTGGGTGAGGTGATGGCTCCCGAAGTGGAGGCTGCTCATCATCCGTGCCATCAAAAAAACGCTTACTAGCTTGTCGCCAATCAGTGGCAAGATCAGCTTCCGTGGGTGTCAGCCTCTGCAATGGAGTGTTGGCTTCCTAACAATATAAAAGCTCAAACAAAGTTAAACGTGTACTAGTAATAACTTGTTTATAAACATATGGTAGTATTTATGTTAACTTACATTATTTATTGTCGTATACCGTAGTAAATCTTCCCATTGCAAGGTATGTTCCTCTTCCAGGAAATAGCCCTGGGAATATCATTTGAAGTTTTTATTGCATATGTCTTCATGGCGGGAAAGGCCTCAAATATCCAAATCTACAAACAATATAATAACAAACATTAGTAATTGTTAAATAATTACTTATAATTTTGGAAACATTATATAAAAATTCTTACCTTAAAGGCCCAAATAAAGCCTGTCAAAGTGTATTTGGAACCATCGCCATGCAAACTTTTTCGATCATCCAAGGCAGACGATAACTTATTCCATGTAGCTTTCCATAAATACGAGCCCCATGGAAACAGGTTCCACGCATTTAGGTCTTCTACCAATTTGATTAGATCATTCGGAATAGGTTGTCTGGCCTCTCTGCCTAAAAAGCCGGCATGCAAAAGTATTAGAAGGCATACTTGGACAACATCGATGTCATCCATCCGAGTAAAACCATCTTTCTTATTCAATAATATCGTCAGGTCTTCCACGTGTAGATTCGGCCTCTCCAGCTCAGGAAAAACCCGGGATAACCATGATGGGCGGGTAATGTGTCTAGTGTACCGACCTACATCATCGTGTCCGAAGCGTAGACCGGTGATTAAGCAAAATTCCTCCCGCCCAAAACACGTATACGCCGGTGGAAAATCAAACCATATCTCTTCATCACGACGTTGTATAGTATCTGGTAGATCCCTAGTCATGGTTTGAAGAAATATGTGTGTCAACATCGCATCTCCACCGGGATGTTGTACTTTCAACCATGGCCCGAAGCAAGTATCCTCAAACATTTTTCTTTGTGCAGGTGAAAGCTTCGATGCAATTGTTTTGGCCAGGCTGACTTTATTTCTTAAGGTCAATTGAGCCGATTAAAAGTTCTACAAAAACAATAAACATACTAAGTTAGATATACCAAAAACTACACTGTGAAGATATACCAAAAACAATAATAAACATAAAGAGTAGTAGTTTATTCTTCAAACTTAAATTTGCAACACTGTGAATTTCTTATTTGTCTTTGTTTTTTGGTTGAAGTAATGCAATTCATTCAAGTTTCAATTTGCAGAAGAAGAATAGTTTATGAAAATGTAAATCGCAACATGAAAATGACAATCGCAACGCGAATTTGACTATCGCAACGAGAGAATAAAATCGTGTTGCGATTTTGTCGTTGCGATTTTCATTTCGCGTTGCGATTCTCGGTTGATTTAATAAGCAATCTAAGTGAAATGGTTAATCTATTATTGAAATTACCAGTAAACTTATCATCAATTTCAATATGAAAAACCTAATAATAATGCAAAAATTTCAAAAAGAAAATAATTAAAAAAACTAACCCTCGGTGGTTGATTTGGTTGATTTTCCATTTCTGATTGTGAGGGTGGCTCTGAGATATGGAGATAGACGGATTTCGCCGGAGATGGGGACGGATTTCGTCAGAGATGGGTGAGAGAGTGAGAGATGGAGATGGGACTGAGTTGTGATTTTAGGTTTTAGGTTATGAGTTGCGATTACGAGATATACTGTGGACGGTTCAGTGTTCCAATATATTAATATTCGTGTTTGGAATTTGAAAATAAAATACGCTTTGCGATACTAATGGCGCTTTGAAAATCGCATTGCGATTATGTATTATCTCGTTGCGAAAGTCAGTATTGAGTTGCAAAATTAAGTATCGAGTTGCGAAAGTCAGTATCGCGTTGCGATAGTCAGTACCGCGTTACGATTTTCCAAATTCGCATTGCGATTTTCCAAATTCGCATTGCGAATTGGGAAAAGCGCAATGCGAAATTGGAAAATCGCATTGCGATAGTCATAATCGTGTTGCGAATCTGGAAATTGATTTGCGATAATGGAGATCGCGTTGCGAATTAGCGATCGCATTGCGATTTTGTTGGTCATTTTGGCAAATCCGGAAAAAGTTGGTTAAAATCGTATATTATATGAGATTTTTGGTCACTGAGGTTATTTTCTCTTTTCGATGCCCTGAACAAAAACTTAAAAATGTGTCTTTATAAAATGAAAGTGTTTCATTACTTTGAACAATTAATTCAATATTACATAAATAAATCATAGAAAAATGATTACATTTTGTTAAAATATATTATTTTTATTATTTTATTAAGAAACCTTAAATACAGCTAAAAGAGAATAAATATAAAAATATTGAATGCATGTATGATACATAGCTTGATTTTAAAAAAAATAATTGTATATTATTTTGTTGTTAGATTGAGAATGAACTAGACAAAAAATCAAAGAATATTTGATAAAATGAAGAGATTAAATTGAATTCAAAATTGAATGAATAAATAAGAGAAATGGAAAAGGAAGTAAAAAACTAAACATTTTATGAAATTATAAAAATTAGTGGTCCTAATTATAAATATAAAAAATGGTTAAATTTAATCCAAAATTAGATAAATTAATAAGAGAAATGAAAAAGAAGATCAAAAACTAAAAATTTAATGAAATTATAAAAATTAGGGTGTTGATTATAAATATAAAAATTAGATGAATTAATCATCGAAGTCGTTTTATCATTGTCGGAGTCGGCGGCAACTGTCAACGATTTTATTTTGGTTGCGATGTTAATTATTATTACATCGTAGGGATCACATTAAAATGTAGTTTGAATTATAGAGGCTAAAATGTGGATTTTAAAAAATTTAAAATAAAATTACACACATCAAATCTTTATAAAAGATATTTTTCTATAAAATAAAATAAAATTTAGCAGGTTAAAAAAAACAAAGTCGAAAATTAAAAACTACTAATAAAAATAAATAAATTAAAAGTAAAAGTAAAAACGAGATTTTTCGTGACTATCAATGATAAAGTGATTTATCATCGCATAGATCTCAAAATGTCTTGTGAATGCAAAAATCAAACTCAAACAAATAGTTCACATTAATATGAGTAAATACTTTCTACGCACCATTTAACTAAACTCTCTTGATTTTTTAAAATTTTATTTTAATCCCTATAATTTTAATTTCCTTCTAATTTAATTTTTATAGCGTAAAAAGAAAATAAAATAACAATTAAAATCATCATTTGTTGCCACAGACTCACAATGTATCTGATCGTTGGCGATGATTTTAGATCTTTTTTTTTTTTTTTGAAATCATATTAGGAGATGGTTTTATTAAAATCGTAAATATCTTATGATAATTACTGTAGAATTTGTTTTTAGAAGAATTCTAGATCTACCTCTCCCTGATGCAATATTTAAAAATAATTCCCTTAATTTGACCTATTTTGAGTCGAGTAAAATTAAGTTGGCAAGTGAATGGAATGCTCTCGCCTACAACCAAGGGTAGGGAAAATTATTAGCTATTGTTTCAACATCAAACTCGGGGGAATGGGGTACGTTACTTGCTCAAGAGTCAAAGCTTCACCTAATCAATTCCCAAAACAAATGAATCATTCCCAAAATTCATTACAACTGTTAATCCATGTGCTTTAAGATAGGGTTTCATTTTCCAATAAAGCTCATCCTTCATCTACCTTTGTAAATTCATTTGGCGCCACATACAAGGACCCCACGTAGGACATGAATTAAAGTTCTGTTATACAATTTTTTTTTAAAAAAATTTAAATATTTTTATTAATTATTTAATTGTATATTCTTCAAATTTTATAATTCTTTTTTTTTAAATTTTTAAAATATACTTTTTTAAATTTAAATTTTTGATTAAAATTTTGCATCACTTCACTTAAATTTTAATAGACATAATATCATAAAAAAAACTTCTAACATTTGATTAAATAGTCATGACCTCTAATTTAATTTAACCTCCAACGTTTTATATTGAGGTAAAAATACATCTCTATGGATAAAAATAATTCGTTAACAAACGATTATCACTCTAAAATATGAGTCTTTTCGCTTAAAATGAAATATTAATAATCAAAATGTTTCAAAAAAAGAAATAAGGGTCAAAGCGATATCTATCGTAAGTGTCTTTTTGTCTTAAAATGAAATGTTGAGTCAAAACAATAATAAAAAATTAACCAAAATAACAATTTTAATAAATACCAGAGGACTAATTTTGATATTATGCCATTTTAGTATCAACAAATTCCTTTTACTTTTCCATTAAAGGAAGAAACAAGAAAGGAAAAGGACAGAGCAACATGCGACTGCGCTTGTGGTTCGTTTATTTATGATTACCATATCCCTCTCTGTGGTTGAAGGGTTCAGCAGCCTCACTCTGCCATAAAAAAATTCCCCCATTTGGTTCCATCACTCTCTGATCAGTTTCTTTAATCTTTTCTCTTAAGTTCTTTGAACAAAAAAGAAGACGACGACATAAATCTATGGGGACGAGAACAAGAAGGAAACAGAGTTGGTACACCCAGACACTGACGCCATTAATGGAAGGACCAGTGGACCCCGAAATGCAAGACGATGGGAACAAGAAGGAGAGCTCTTGGGAAGCCATCCGAGAATGGTTTCGTACACAAAAGGGATTGTCTTTGTCGCCGATTAATAATAATTCCCCGACGTCTAATTATAGTAATTTTCCGGCGGCCAAGAGGCAAGACTTGAGGCTTTTGCTCGGCGTTTTAGGCTGCCCTCTCGCCCCTATTCCGCTGCCTATTCACCCGACACATCACATTCGCCTCGAAGATATTCCCATTGTAAGTTTCCCTCTTGTTTTTTTCTTTTTCATTGCATCATGGCTTGTTATTCATCGAATATGGACAGGAAACGTCGTCGGCGCATTACATTATACAGCAGTACTTGGCGGCGGCGGGGTGCTTGAAGCAGCGGTGCGGTGGGAAGAACATGTACGCGGCGGGGAGCGTGAAGATGTTGTGTTGCGAGACGGAGATATCGAGGGGGTCGGCGAAGGGGAAGAGCATGGTGAAGAGTTTGGGGACGAGGAGTGAAGAGATGAGTGGTTGCTTCGTGGTTTGGCAGATGAAGCCGGAGATGTGGTCTCTGGAGCTGGTTGTCGGAGGCAACAAGGTCATCGCCGGCAGCGACGGTAAAACCGTCTGGCGACACACGTCTTGGCTCGGCACCCATGCTGCCAAGGGTCCTCAACGTCCTTTGCGCCGCATTATCCAGGTACTCCATTTCTCCTATTTGTTCCTTAATCATCATTGGACGTTATGTTAATAGAGGAATTTTCAAAATTTTAAAATCAAGAAATTTATAAAATTTTTCAAATAAAAGCATATAATTAATAAAACATTAATATTGTTAATATATATATATATATATGTTGATCCTTAATTTGGATTTGTTAATATCTAAATAATAATTTAAAATTTGAAGAACAGTTTGATTCAATGGGATTATCACTAAGGTATGATGGTAGCATTAATATAAACCAATTAAGCATGCAATATTATTAGAAGGTGGGAAGGAGTTATCAATTTTATGGTTTAATTATATAGTAGGTCCTTATAACTTAGCAATGAATTGAAAAGCAAGCAAGTAAAGAGAATAAGATGGGGAGATTATGCCAAGGGAAAATGTAATGTGAGTGACAAGGATGGATGAAGAAACTGTCTGATGCCTTAGCAGACAGAATTTCTTTTGTTTTGTTTTATGCAGAGGAAAGAAATGAATGTGAGCGTGTTGACATCATCTGATCATTCATCACTCACTCACTATTTCCATCTTGGGATTGCCACCTTCTCCTTTTGCTTTATGCTTTTCCTTTTCCTTTTCCTCTTTACTATACACTTGCATTATTTTCCTCCCCTCCTTTGCTTTTTTGCTTTTGTTTACTCATTTGTTTGTTTTTCACTTATTCTCATATCATCTCCTTTGGTTAGATTTTTCCATATGCTTTTTCCCCCTTTTGGATTCATGGGGCATTAACAAATTGTACCGTATTATTTCTTTTTCAAGAATATTTTAATTAATTGGATAAAGATGGGCTGATTGGGATGCAGGGGCTAGATCCAAAGACAACAGCCAGCTTATTCGCGAAAGCGCAATGCTTGGGAGAGAAACGAATAGGTGACGAGGATTGTTTCGTACTCAAAGTATGCGCCGATCGTGCAGCGGTGATGGAACGGAACGAAGGTCCGGCAGAGGTGATGAGGCACGTGTTGTACGGCTACTTCTCCCAAAAGAGCGGGCTGCTAATATACTTGGAGGACTCCCATTTGACCAGAGTCCAAACTCAAGGTGACAATGCTTGCGGTTGTGCCTACTGGGAAACCACCATCGGAAGCAGCATCGGGGATTACAGGGATGTGGATGGAGTGATGATAGCGCACCAAGGAAGGTCAATCGCCACAGTCTTCCAATTCGGGGAGCTGTCAATGCAGCACAGCCGGAGCCGGATGGAAGAATTTTGGAGCATCGATGATGTGGTTTTCAATGTCCAGGGACTCTCCATCGATTCCTTCATTCCTCCAGCTGATATCTTTGATCCTTAATATATATTTTACCTTCACCAATCTTTTCCACTTCACCATAGCAACTAACATCATCATCATCACATGAACATATAAAATATTGGTGGGTAGGGTTGATTGGATCATGCATCTTTGATTTTAATCTCATAAATATGTTATAAACTCAGTACTTCTGGAGTGGGCGGTTTTGTTTTCTTTTCTATTTTCATCTCTTCTGTATGTATAATGTTTTAAATCCATAAAGTGTGTACATAGAGACATCTTACAAGTCCGTATTTTAAAATTGATCTAATTTGTTAAATAATATACTTTTACTTCATGAAATTAATTTAAAGTAAAAAAATAATTACAATTTAAATGGCTAAGTATAGTTCCAGGTCAAAGAAAATGGTTTAGTTAAAATATATCTAGTATTATAACGGTAAAATAATTCTATAGGGCATTTTAGGGATATAATAATTGACATGTAAGATTAATTGATATTAATTTTTAGGTTAAAATATTCCTCGACTCCCAGACAATTTTATCTTTAATAAAATTCAATATTGGCCCTCATTTTTGTTTAATCTTCTCAAATCCCTGTTAAATTTGAAATTAAAGGAATTAGAACTTAACCCTTAATTTTTAAAATTTAAATTATACTTTGACCCCCTTTATTTTGTTAATATTTATATTTATCTCCCAAAGTTTAGTTTTGATCCTACTTGAACCCAAGGTTCCATGAAAAGAAATAAGCATCAGTCAATGCATATGCCACCACCACACAATCTGAAATCACACTTAAAATAGTCAGCAACAAACATAATTTAATAGCAAGAAATTTACCATAAAAGCTTCAGATTGCCTTCTCAGCATCGGCATCAAGGGCTGCCTAAATTCTGTGAACAGACCATTTAGCAACACAAACCACTTGATGTTGTACAGTTTCGAGTTCCAGGCTTGTATCATAAACAGGCAACCGAGTACACCTTGCATTTCAGTTTCTGTTAATATCTCCCAAGCACACGTATTTGAGCTGCATAAACATAAAAGATTGCTTTTTTACCAAGGCAAAAAAGAAGATAAAGGAGAAAAATGAATTGAGGTAATATCCGATTACTCACTTCAAGATATTCATCTATCCCATACTTGGAACCTTCTCGCCCGAGACCAGACTGTTTGAAACCTCCAAATGGTGCCACCTGAATTGAAACAAACAAACAAACCATAACTTTAATCAACAGCTGCTGCTTCCTTTTCTTTTAATTTCTGCAAATTTGACCCACCTCAGTCGAAATGATTCCTTCATTAACACCAACAACCCCATACTCAAGAGCTTCTGAGATATGCCATGTTCGTCGAACATTGTTTGTAAATATGTACGCAGCTAGCCCTTAATATGTGCAATAAAGAATGAGGTATGATAAATCGAACTGTCCAATATTATCCTAGTAGAGGTATTGCATGACAAATTTTTGAAAGTAATTTTACCAATAGTGATGGATAAGGTTTGGTAGACAAATCTTTCTAAAGACACTAATAGAGTAATAAAAAAAACATAATGACAATGAACTTAATAAGACTATGGATTAGCTTATCCTGAAGAAAACAATAAACCCTGAAAAATGAACCTGCATTGGTGTCGTTTGCAATGCGGATAGCTTCTTCCTCAGTTTTGAACCGCAAAAGAGGGGCCACGGGTCCAAATATTTCCTCTCTGACATGAGACAAATTGACATACATCTCTTAAATCTAAAACATAAATACAAAGACAGTCATGCAGCAAAGTTGACGTTGCAACATGACAGCATATATAGGACAAGATATCATATTTAATGGTAAAAAACTGCAAGTTTGACTCAAACATATATATCACCAAGGCACCCAAACATGTACACAGACAGAGTAACCTGGACACCAAATTGACTTGAATCACTTTGTGCATGTTTGTTCATAAGTCCATGAATATAGATGGCTTTTATTTGCATGAATGCTGGCGATATCATCGCTGCTTAGAAGAACTTGATAGTCTAGTTTGTCTGTGTTTCAAGTCCTTAATAGTATATTACTATGAATTATCCTCTTAAATAGAGCTATATAGGGTTTTATTCTTGTAAATAAACTAAAATCAAGGACTTGTAAAATAAAAAACAAAAATTAAAGACTTCCAATTGCAATAAGATGCTAAAAAAATTCCTAATCATGAACACTTTCCCGCGAAGGCATCAATAACACTTCTTCCTCAAGGGTTCAAAAAGGTTATAGTTAACAATCATTTCCACTAGCGTGGAACTGATGGACCCAGTATATTCTTCCTAAACCCCGTCCATCAAAAATCAAATAGAACAGACTTATTATTTTTCCCTTAAAATGTTATTTAGGTTAATTAAAATTAGCATCATGAAGAGTCATACCATACTAAAATACTCTCCAAAAGCATGAAGAAGTTACAATCATCTCATATGCAGTAACCAATGTGAAATGTCAGCGTATCTTAGAGGATGTACCATTGTACCTTGCTAATAGCATGTCACTCTAGACATCAGTAACAACTGTGGGCTCATAGAAAGTCATTCCAAGGTTATGTCTTTTACCTCCAAGAATGACTTTTGCTCCCTTCAAAAAATCAATGGTCAATAAGTTCACGGGATAAATAAGTGGTTACAAAAAAGAAAAAATAGGCGGCCAGGAACAAAACTTGGCAACACTTTCCGGAAGAGACAGGAAAGTATGAGAGGGAGAACTTAAGAGAGAGTCCAAAAATATATAATATACGTGTGTGTGTGTGTGTGCACATACATACTATACAACAGGTGCCACAAATAAGCAGGTTTGGGAGCTAAAAGTTAGCAAATATATAGATATAGCCATTCCTTAACACAACGAGAAGGTGGTTTTGGCACAAGCTCGAGGAATTGCAACACTGAATCGTGCTAAAATCAAGTGTGGTGAAAATAAGCATGCAAAACCATACGGAACCATGAATTAAAATGGAAGCCAAGAGTACAGAAAATTGAATGTTATATACTACAAAAAGTGTTATGCCATGAAGCACGTATACTTTTGTTAGGGGAGTGTTCAGACATGTGTGACACATAATGGCTCTAACATAATACAATACGTGTTAAACACAAGAGGACGGGCCGAAAAGTAAAAATGAAATAAAACATGGTCAAAACCTGGACAAAACATGATCCCGAATAGGGAATCAAAGCAAGTTGATTGTAACAGGTTTTTTAAGGTTGAAATTTTTAAATCCAACAATAAGCTTAAAAAATTGAAAATTTATTTAAAGGTTAATATTTAACAGAAAAGTATCAACTATACATTTTTATTGCATTATTGTATATAAAAGAATATTTTCTTTATTTCCATCTTGCTATACCTGACCTTGTGTCCTAATTTTCTATGAATTCCCATGTTCCCATTTTGTGCCTTGTTGTACATGTATTGTTGTAAAAAGATATTTTTCTGATGAAGGCAGTAAGTACTTTTATTCAAGGAAAAAATTCCACGTTTTTTACAAGAGGATACATAGGATGTTTATATACACGAATTAGAGATTTAGATAAGATAGGAGTCATCTACAAATTAAGAGATAGTTTTATAGTTAAGTTTGGAGACAGAGTTTGATTCAAACACTACTTACACTCCCCCTCAAGCTGGGGAGTAAATATTGTAAAGACCCATGTAATTTCGTCAAAGCTAGTTGGTTTTGTGAAGAGACATAGTTTAGTTTAACAGTTCCTCCATTTACTTTTTCTGCAATGAAGTGTGTCGATCTCCACATGTTTGATTCTATCGTGGTGCACTGGATTCTTTGCAATGCTTATCGCAGATTTGCTATAACTCTGAAGTTCAAAATAGTTGTTGTCGCACATCTCTAGTTCAGTTAAGAGTATCTGTAGCCAAATTCCTTCACACATCCCGAGTGCTATTGCCCTATATTCTGCTTCTGCACTGCTCCTGGAGACTACTGATTGTTTCTTGCTTCTCCATGTCACTAGGTTTCCCCACACAATTGAGCAATATCCCGTGGTTGACCTTTTATCCGTTACTTCTCCAGCCTAGCTTGAATCTGAGAAGATTTTAACTATTCTGTCTTCATGTTTCTTGAAAATCAACCCATATCCTGGTGTCATCTTTAGATATCTTAAGATTCGATTAACTGCCTCTAGATGTTCTTCTCTGGGATCATTCATGCATTGACTAACAATGCTAACAGGAAAAGCAATGTCAGGTCTAGTTAGAGATAAATAAATGAGTTTATCAACTAGCCTTTGATAATGTTCCTTGTTTACCGGGTTTCCATCTTTACTCAATTTCAAGTTAACTTCCATAGGAGTTTCCGAGGGCTTACAATTCGTCATTCCAATTTCAAAAAGTAAGTCTAGAATATACTTTCTTTGATTTATGATAATTCATTCTCGTGATCTCGCTACCGCCATGCCTAGGAAATATCTCAGAGTTCAATTTAGTTGGTGAGTTACTTCATTTGATGTTGGATAAAGCTGTGGATTTGGGCCTTTTCTATGGTTTCTCTATTGGTAGGTCAGAAAATCCTTGCCAGTTGTCACATCTTCAGTTCGCAGACGATCTAATCATCTTCTGTCGCGCTTCCCTCGGATAAATTAAAAATGTAAAAAGAGTCTTGAGAATTTTCAGCTTGATGGCTGGGCTTAATTTAAACCTATCGAAAAGTCTTCTGCATGGGATCAATATGGAAGAAGAAGTTCTGAAAGATTGGGCCACATCCATTGGGTGCTCTGTGGGTTCTTTCCCTATGAAATATTTAGGGTTACCACTTGGAGCAAAGAAGAACTCATATATTCTGTGGGATCCGGTTATCCAAAGGTTCAACAAAAAACTGGCAGGTTGGAAAGCTAATTCACTATCCTTGGCTGGCAGATGGTGCTACTGAAGTCGGTATTGTCTTCTCTCCCGATTTTTTCCTATCTGTTTTTAAACTGCCAAGCAAAGTTAGTCAGAAGCTGAATTCGTTGATGGCTAGATTCTTGTGGGGTGATGGGTCAGAGAATAATCGAATACATTGGGTGAATTGGCAAATGGTTTGTAGTCCGATTGAATATGGAGGAATGGGGGGTTTTGGATTTGAATCTAACTAATCGTGCTTTGTTGGGGAAATGGATATGGAAGTTTGCAAATGAGAAAGACTCCTTGTTGATAATTTTGATTTGCAGCAAGCACAATATAGACAACCTATCTATGTCAGTTAGTAGGGTGTATTCTCCCCAAGACTGTTGGATATGAAAAGGAATAGTCAGTAGCTTCTTAAAGAATGATTCGGCTGGAGAGAGTTTGAGATCTCATTCAAGGCTCCAAGTGGTGAATGGTAAGTCAATATTCTTTTGGAATGATGTTTGGGTAGACAATACCCCTTTGAAAATTCAATTTCCTAGAATTTTTGCATTGTCTTTAAATAAATCGGGTAAGGTGGTTGATTTTGGAAATTAACATTCTAATGGTTGGTCTTGGAATATTCGAACAAGAAGAAATTTGTGTGATTGGGAATTAGAACAATGGTTAGAATTAATGATTAAATTGAACAACATACAATTGTCCGAGGCAGTGGATGATTTTCTATCTTGGTCTGGGAAGGGGGATGGGTAGTTTTCAGTGAACTCTTGAAGAAATACTCTAGCTAAGGATCATGTTAAGAACCCTATTTGGAAAAATCGTGTATGGCTGGGGTTGGTTCCTCCTAGAGTTGAAACTTTTCTTTGACAAGTAACTCACCAAAAACTGAAAGTAAAATCAGAGTTAAAGAAAAGGGGGTGCCCTTATCTGATGGTGATCTTTGTCTGCTTTGTAAACAGTATGAAGAGTCTGCCCAACATCTGTTTATTTTCTGCTCAGTGGCTTATGAGATTTGGAATAAGTTTTTTCAGGTTTTGGGATATCTGTACAGCTTTGCCTTGTGATATTCCATCCCTTATTAGTTCTTAGCATGATTTGATGGCAAATTCTACGATATGGAAATTTATCTCGGGAGTGGTTCTGTGGTTTATTTAGAAACATAGGAATTCAATTGTTTTCAATAACCAGTTTATGGACAGGTCTTCTCTCTTCTTCATTGTAAGATTTAGATTAGCTAAGTGGTTTCAAGCCAAGTTTCATCAAGTTTCGATCTCGGTTGACTCGTTAATGGTTGATCCCTCTCTAGCAGACGATCTTAATTGCTCAAAGGTTTAGAGTAGGGTTGTACAGAAATGGCTTCCTCCTCCTGCAGATTTCTACAAATTCAATGTAGATGGTACTGTTAGAAAAGATGGGATGACTGGTGGCATTGGGGGTATTCTTAAAGATTCAAATGGTTCCACTCTAGCATCGTTTTCATAATGTGTTGGATCTGGCCCTCCTCCATTGGCAGCATTGAAAGCAATTAGGAAAGCAATTGAAATTTTCTTTTCCTCGGTTTGGTCTACCAAAGGGATATTGATTCTGGAAAGTGATTGCAAAACATCTGTGGAATGGATCCAGACGCCTTCTTCTGCCCCTGTGTATTTTAGTAATCTAATTAAGGAGATCGAGTATTTTGTATTGTCTAGGGCATTCATAGTGAAGTTAATTTCTAGGGGTTGTAATTGGAAGGCTGATAAGTTAGCTAAAGAAGGGGTTGGGTGATTGTGTAGTTTTATTGAGGATGTTTTCTGCATTTTTAGGTATTAGTCTTTTCTATTGTTATGTGAAGGTGTATGGTTTTGTATGGTTGTCAGAATTTTATATCAATAAAATGAGATACTCTTTTCCTCCTTCGGCTAATTGCTCATTTCCTCTTGGAAAGGGATAATTATGAAGGGGGTTTTAATGAGACCTCCTACTTTTATCAACAAAAATTGATATCGAAAAACCTGCAAGAATGATTAGTTCAGTCTATTCAAACAACTAAATTCTGGGCGTCGGCCATTAAAACAAGATAAGCATTTAATTTTCCATGCTACAAATGTCAGTTTGGACCATTTTCAATCAAAAAGCAGGAGATTAAACTCCCAAGCTTTGCTAGAAAAATGAATCTTCCAATATTTGAAAATAAATATGTTAGAACCTAAGCATCCATCAGCTATAATCATTTACCAAAATATTTCAAGTTCAATCATGCAAAAAAAAAAAAAAGAAAAAAAAAGAAAAAGAAAAAGCATGGTGCTCTTTTCAAATGGTTGACCATTCCAAAGTTCAATATAAATGTATTGTAAAAAGATATTATAAGAAAACGGTTATACCATTTTCTAAGATATTTGCTCCTTTCGGTAGCAGCGAGTTTACTCCAAGCTATGACCAACGAAAAAAAGGGAATGGGGATAATCAGTTAAACTAGATTTAAGACCCAAAGACAACTTTGAACCTCAGTATGCCAAAATTACCAACCGATACAACTTCAATCCAATAGTATACATAAGAACACCTATGAACGCAAAAATTTTAATTTGACCAGCTCATATGACACACTCTGTTATTTGAACTAAATGCACATGTACTGATCATTGAAACATGATTGTTCCATACAAAGCTAATATCATACATTTTATTATTCATATAAGTAAATATTTTTGCAGTGTTTATGTACTTTTATATCCAAGTTCACCTTTTTTGCTTCAAAAGCAAAAGTAAAAGTACAGACTAAGGTAAAAGCTAGATAAGGCACAATTCCATAAGTAGATGATTCATTGACCAATTGTAAAGAAAGAATAAGTAACTAGTGCCCAAGCCAAGAGGTTTATGTTAGAATTTTGTGACCCGAATTCCATTTGATTCGACCCGAAAAGTTAGCAGTGCAATTCGTTTGGTGAATAAAAAAAATAAAAAGAAAAACTGGGATATGTGGGGCAAAGGTCCAAGGGCCGATTTTGCCGCACATGTTGAATTTGTGCAGGACTATAATTATATAATTTGATGTTGATTAAGGGTAGTAAACACAGTTCAAGTAGATTTCTTGCTAACCAAGTTTCTTTTGTAATCAAACAATTAAACTTAGAAATAGACCGCAAAGGCACAATTCCATAAGTAGATGATTCATTGACCAATTGTAAAGAAAGAATAAGTAACTAGTGCCCAAGCCAAGAGGTTTATGTTAGAATTTTGTGACCCGAATTCCATTTGATTCGGCCCGAAAAGTTAGTAGTGCAATTCGTTTGGTGAATAAATAAAATAAAAAGAAAAACTGAGATATGTGGGGAAAAGGTTTAAGGGCCGATTTTGCCGCATATGTTTTTTTTATAGAAGTTGGAGGTCTCGTTAAAAACTCCCTTCGTATTCTTCCACATACTTAGAAGAATGCTAAAGAACATTGGAAGGAAGAAAAGAATGCCACATATTATATTAAATAGAATACCAATTACATGTGGTAGCACCGAACCCTCAAAGGGGGATATACACCATTACAAAAACCATATCACCTAATAATCTTCCATCTTTAAACAAAAAAACCCTAAGATAATAACCCTATTTCTAAGATAAACCTCAAGATGAAAGATAACATAGCAAATAAAAACCAACAATTACAACCACAAACTAAAAAACGCCTCTGAAAACATCTGTCGGACAATCACGACCCAACTGGAGGAACAAGGTCTAAAGAAACATCGCAATCAGCAGGGACCCAAGAGTCAGGTTTGAAGGAAGGATCAACTTCATGCACCAATATTTTGAATAAATTAGCATCGACCTTCAACTCCAACAACTCATCAATTCTCCCAATAGCCTTGGTAAGTATTTGGATTTTAGCTCTATCAAAAGACGTAGGAAACTCACAAATGTTGTCGATTGCAATTAACTTGCCCCACTTAGTTGCAATGTTTTTGAAGGTATCCCAATTCCAAGCTTGAAAAGGAATACCTTCGCAAACTACCCACACACGACGACACTCCACCACTAGGCTCTCCGACAAGTTTCCACTCTGGAAAACCATTCTCCTAGAGTTTCTAACTTATCATCCTTAACGCTTCTCAACGAATCAGTCTTCAAACAACATAAGAACTACATTACCAGCAGCTCTCATTAGCGTGAAACCAGTTAATCCCTTGGCTTATATCTTGTTAGCAAGATTACCAATTTTGATAAAGTTCTTGCACCACCCCACAAGACAGTCACTGAACACTTGAAGTTTATCTTCGTCCACAACACCCTCAACTTCACAGTGTTTATTCCTTGAAATATCTTCCAACCCAGACTTACTTTGAACAATTGTCGAGGACTTTCGCCAGTAAGACTGTCGGGGTTTATATTTAGCCAAAAAGACTCTAATTTTGCTGCCATAAATAAGATTACCATTCATCAAAGAAATCACTTTCCTTGCTTCTTCAATTGTAGCATAGTGAATAAACCCAAAGCGAACCCCATACGAGTTTCTTTTGTTGGGAATGAAGGCATCAATAACTTGTCTGTCTGTGCCAAAAATATTTCTGAGTCTCTTCCAATGGATCTTCTCCGGTAGGTTCTCAATGAATAACGTGACGCATTCACTTCTATGCCCAATAATACCATTTGTATAAGCTTCCTTCCACCGGTTTTGAAAACCGTTGCTTCTCCTTCTCGCTACATCAGAATATTTTTCATTGGCAAACTCCTTCTTTGTTAACTCCCTGGTTCCATGGTGAACTACATCAGCAGCCAAAAGAACGGGAGTTGCCTCCACTGACTCAATCCTATAATTCCCACCTTGCGAAGGAGACATACCATTGTCATCAATCCTAATAGCAGGTGGTTGATAGTCTAATGTTCCTTTAACAAAACATTTTTTCAGAGATTTGGTTGGGAGAGGACGATCACCCGACCTCGCTGCAACTGCTCTTAAACTTTGCTGATTTTGGGGCGTAGAAGAGTGCCTGTAGGAAGTGCCGTCAGCCTCATCTGTCCAACCTGCCTCACGGGCCAAGGCGACCAGTACATCGTTCATATTAGAACGCTCTGAAAGATGGAAATTACCGTATTGCCTCAAACCGGCCAGCAAACGTCTGGTGAAGGCTCGCCTGTTCCGTTTTCGTAGTTTAGTCCTCTCCTTTTCATTCTCCCTCTCATGTTTATCCTTGCCGGAGTAGGAAGAAGTTGATGCTTCGTCGGGTCCAGAGGGAGTACGAGTGGGGTTCACAGCGACTGCAGCAGACCTTGAAGGAGGAACAAAACGGTGACCCGCAGAGGATGCATCCACACCGTCTATTACATCAGACCTTCGAGCATCCACCGCGTCTGCTGTAGTAGACCTTCGAGGTTGCCTGGGCTGAGACGGGGGTTGGGGTTCCATGGAGAGGTATGGAAAAAAACAAAAAAGGAGGAAATGGTATATATTTACTACCGAACCCATTCACTGGAAATAAATGAAGAATAGAAGCGATTCTCGACACTTTGAAGGTGGTTCTGGTCACATTAAGACGCTGAGTCTGGTGGTGCACAGAGGGCTTCATCAAGATCTACGACGATTAAAATGATTCTATCATGAATCTAAAGCCAGATTTGAAATCACCGTGGGCCGGCGATCCTCCCAGTAAAAAACGACGTCAAAACGGTGGTCGGAGTGCGGCGGCGGAAGGCTGACGACGGCAGCGGGTGGCGTACGACGGCGGCGGACAACGGGTGACTGTCGAAGGAGAGAATAGTTTTCAACCACGCCTGGGCTCGTGGAAATTCAAAATTTGAAATCGCCTAGAAAGATGCTGGAGCTTCTCTCACTAACACGTGATTTCAAGTCACAGTTAAATTACTTATTTTGCCGCACATGTTGAATCTGTGCAGGAATATAATTCTATTATTTGACGTTGATTAAGGTTAGTAAACACAGTTCAAGTAGATTTCTTGCTAACCAAGTTTCTTTTGTAATCAAATAATTAAACTTAGAAATAGACCGCAAAGTCACAAATTCTCTTGTTTCTCCTCTTCTGCTAGTGGGTTTTTACTTTTAGGGTTTTCCACAGATTCTTGATGTCTCTTATTTTACCATCGCTTCTACACGTGGTTATCTCCCTGTAGTATAACATTATATAATCATAACCAGAGAAACTCAAACAGGCAGCAGAAATGCCATCCTAAACTACTTAGAAATGAGCAATTTAGCAGCGAAAAGAGGGATAAGAGAAGTAAATCATAAAAAAAATTCTAAATACCATGTGACAGAGAGAAGCTCAATGAAAAACCCAAACCAAATAACATCAATTAAACGAGAGAAGTGGAAGTGGAAGTGGAAGTAGAAGTGTTTGGTACAATTAAAAGCTTGGTATGCAGAAGAAATGGCGTCATTTGTTTCCCGTCTTCCCATAAAGGGGACATAGGCTATGATTTCCCCCGTTGAAGGATTGTTAACCTGTCATCGCACGCCAAACAAAAAAGAAATTTCAAGTAAAATTTGGAAACAGACACCAAAAGAAATCAGGGGAAAAAGTGAAATTGAAACCTGAAAAGTCTTTCCATCATGGGCAGCAACCCATTGGCCACCAATGAGACCATGGCTTCGGAATATGGTGGAATTCTTAACCCAGGCTGCACCACTCGTCTGATGAAAACAATAACTAGTAAGGAAGAAAGAAACAGCTACAGTTGCTTTAGGATTTGGATTTAGAAGTAAAGGAGTTGATAAAAAAAATAAGAGGAGACCTGGCAGACGCCGGAGGGATGATGCATGCGAGGTAAATGGGAGGCGGCGACATTGCAAATAACGAAGCCAGCTACTCCCATTTTCTGCTTCGGTTTCAACTGCCCCCCCCCCCCCTATCAGCAACAATTACAAACAAACAAACAAAGCTGTACAAATTACAAGATAAAGAAGATGACGCAAGGTTGAAACTTGTAGCATTATTTTATGGGTAAAGTATAGTAATGGTCACTAAATTTTTTTTTAAGTTTTTATTTAGATTATTGAACTTTTTTAAATCTTTTATTTAGATCTCTCAACTTTTAAAATTTATAATACAGTCCTCTATCATTTAGTTTGTTTGAAATATAGTCCCGACGTAACCAACCATTTGACGCCGTTATATTATCGTTAATACATTTGTAATATGGTCACTGAACTGTATTGAAGACTTCATTAAACATGAAAAAAGAAGACATAAAATTATTGAAAACTTAAAAATAGAATTGAATTCATAAAATGTAGATTAATAGTAGACTTTGAATAATGAAAAGATTTATCTAAAGATATTGATCAGTTTCAACTAATTTAATCTAATAAAGATGTTGAAGTTCTTAAAGGTAATTTCTGGAAGGCTTAATATATTTTTGGGTGTATAAATTATACCTCACAAAATATGATTTGGTGTTTAAAGAATTTTTTGTTAACAATCGGTCTCTAACTCTTCCGTTATATTTTTAGGTATCTATAATTTTCTCTGTTACACTTTTAGATGTCTACCGTTATATTTTTAATTTTTTATAATAAAAATATTATTTAAAAAAGAAAAATTGAAACAAAATAAAACCCCCACCCCGCAACATCCCTCTCCCTCCCATCCTCAACCGCCGACGGTAAAGGATTACTACCGGTCGAGTTTTGTTCGGAACAGGATGAGGAACTCAAAAGTGGATGGAGATTGGGTTTTGGTCGCGACGACAAGATGGTTTTGATGGTGTCAATGGTGACTGTCACAGACCGACGGAGGTCGATTGGCGACTGAAGATATAAATTTTGGGGTTTTTTTTTTTATTTTTTTTTAAAAATTATAATATTCAGTTTTTAATAAAATAATTTTATAAAATTTTTATGTGTGGCGCGTGTTAGATAACAATAAAATTTAATGGTCGTTACGGTCCAAACACCTCAAAGTGTAACGTTGAAAACATTAGAGACGTATTGTTAACAGAAATTCTTTAAACACCAAATCGTATTTTAAGATCTAATTTAAACACTAAAAAGTGTATTAATTCTTTATTGGAATATATCAAGGTTAGTCATCTATGATTGCTTGTACTTAAAATTTATGATGTTTACTCTTTGACATTCTATAAGTAGAAAATAGGTTAACATGGAAATCTTTTAAAAACCATTAGATGGAGTTGAGTTATGCTGAAATCACTTTTATGGAGGAAGTGAATGACGATTGTGCAGCACACTCTCTTTGAGTGAATGTTCTCACTTCTCCTCTTCCCACTTTACTTGCGCATTCATATATTTGGCTGATTTCGAATTTCTTGAAAAGAGGTGTTCAAAGGGTTAATTTTTGGTCACCGATCGAACCAGACTTTATTAATTAAATTAACTGAATATTTTTAACTCTTAGTTCAACAGAACTTTTTTTTTGAAAATATTAATTGAACATAATAAAGTTTGATTATTTCGGTCGGTTAACCGAATTTTTTATAATTTTTTGATTAGATTAATTTGAATATACTAGAAGTATTTTTTATTTGGTTTAAAAATTTTAATTACGTATTAGTAATTTAATGAGTCTATCGTAGGTAAAAAAAAATTGAGTCTTAATTCTTAATAGGTTTGATCTTAAAATATGTATTTAATATATATATATATATATAATATTTAATATTTAATAATTTTGGTTATTTTAGTTAATTCCATTAATTAATTGATTTCAAACCAAATTAACTGTTAATCGAATATTGAAAAAATATTAAACATTCTCCAATTGAATTAGTTCGGTGGTCGAGCGAATTAACCGAACTAATTCGATTCGATTAGTTAATTCCGTTAAAACCAAAAAATGAACACCCTTATTCTTTACTAGCAATTTTTTTTTACAGTCTATTTTTCTTTCTTCTTCCCCCAATAATCTATTTTATCATGTTGTCTTCAATTGTAACTCACTAACTCTATTATTTGTAGTTGCATGGAAAACTTAACAAATTATGTCTTGTTGCGAATGATAACATTTTTAAACATTTGTTTTACGGATTTGATTATAATATAGATCTAGTTTTTTAATATTTTTTTATTTTTTGTTGTTGTCCTCTCAGTTCCAAAGCTTCGTCTTAATTAATCCGGACTGACCAGCGTCACACATTTGGCTTTGGTGGGTGAGTCTCCCAGCAAGGATTTTCTGCATACACAAGGACTCGAGCTTGAGACATTGCTTAAGCGATATCAAGCTGCGTACCACTTGAACAAACCCCTATTGGTAATATTTTTATTTCTTTGAAATATTAATAATTACTTTATTACTATAATTTAATTTTTAAGCGAGTAAAAGTGTTTTATTTTAGATTTGTGGATTTCATAGTGTTTTTTTAACGAATATCAAATTCACATTTAAGACATAAAAAAGTGAACTAAAAATTTTGGGTGCTAGAAATATTGACTGCAAAATCACACCATTACCACAGCCTTAAAAATGACATTGCCCTAATGTGTGTAACTGCTCTAATAGGTGGATCGTCCCCCGAGGTTAACACGGTCGCTCTGAATTTTGTACACCAGGAACCGGAGTGGATTGTTGGTGGTACTGCTCAATGTCAGAAAGATTTAGAAGCTTAGAAAGCTTTGAGAGATGTTTGAGTGAATTGGTGAATTGAGAGTGATATGAAGCTCTCTATTTATAGGCTTGGTTCAGGGGTAAATTCATGAACAACAAAATCATTTATAAATCTGATTAGTTTCTAAATTTAATCTCTTGTTTGAAACTGCTGAAATTAAACGAATGAACTTGGACTCTAACCTTATTCTTGTAGCTGGTGTAATTACACTTGTAACTGGTGTAATAAACAATCATTTATTCACTTTGAACAAGGCTGAAAAACAATTCAGGTACATTCAAACAGTTGTTACTCTATGTAAATATAAAATTCAAATAGTTTAAGTAGCCTATAAAATATCTGATATATCGACCGCGACCTCGTCCATGCCCACGCCCACGCCCACGAGTAGAAGCATGAGCGAGATGGACAAACGGCAGAGACGATTGTGCGCGAGAAACCCCTTATTCTCTATCATTCAACAAGGCAGGCGAGAATGAAAGCCTTAAATACCCAATCCCAATATATTTCCTACTCTACGTGGGATTGAGCATTACTAACATTCACCCACTAGTACGAAAGAATTCTTCTGAAACTCAAAAACAATCTTTTCGGAAGAACAATAGTGAGATTAGTTGCTTAAGCACTAGTGAATGTATCTTAAACTAGTACATAGTGATGATGAGCAATCATTCTCTTAGATAAGTGAAACTAGTCTCATAATACACAACTAACCCCTTCATCCACCTGAGTCCTCGATGTGTAAGATATATATATATACAAAAGTATATGTTTGGCCATCTTATCTCAGGATTCTAGTAAGTGTACTAGAAAAATGACCCATCAGTTTTCTTAGAAGGCGACTAACCCTTATCACTTACGTAGGTTATTTTATCAGGTTTATCTCGACATAAATCACCATTAACAGGGCTATGAAATAATTAAGAGCTTATAAAACAACTCAGCCTCACAGACAAACTCTGGGATAAGAAGTCATTAAGAACAAATATTCAACCTCATTAATCAGTGAATTCAATAAGTCCTTCTCACTAGGAACATCCATACTTTTGGATTTAAATTCATTAAGAGTTTATATAAAACTCAACATTTTCTAGCAGTAAGTTTGTCTTGTCCTTCTCAATTAGGACTACCAACTTAACTCTAAGTTATGAACTTATTAAGAATAGATATTCAACCAAAGTCGGTAAATTAATCAAGTCTTTCTCACTAAGACCACTCAAAGCCTGAGCTATGAATTTATAAATAGCAATTAAGCTCAACCTGGGCATATACATTATTCTTCATAGGGATAGGCAGGGAGAAATGTACACTATGAGTATTTTCATGGTTTCTTTTGACCACCTTGAACTTAGATAACTAAGTTGGGTATCCACCATGAATTTCTCAACCAATGGGCTTTAAACCCATAACCCTCGATGAATCTAGTTTCAGTTTTCAGTTTAACCCTTTGGTAAACAGATCTGCTAGGTTCCTTTCCAACTTAATATACTCTAAAGAGAGCATTCCATTACTTATTAAGTATTTAACATATTAATGCCTTATACGAATGCGTCTCTTTTTACCATATAAGCTTAGTTCTTGGCCACACTAATCGCATCTTGCGAATAACACAGTAAAGAAACTGGAGGAGTCGATTTTCCCCACAACGAAATTTCTGCTAACAAATTTCTGAGCCACTCAGCTTATTGCCCGACTAGGTCAAGAGCTATAAACTCGCTATACTGTAGAATGAGCAATACAAGTATACTTTACTGATTTCCATGAGATTGTTGCTCTACCCAGAGTAAAACATACCCACTTATAGAACTTACCTCATCATTGTAAGAAACCCAGTTAGTGTCACAATATCCTTCCAGTACCGCATGATAGCCAACAAACTCAAGTTTTCAACCTATTATACCCTTAAGATACTTGAGTAAGCGCCTAAAAGCAAACCAATGCTCACCACTCAAATTATGGGTATATCTACCAAGTCTGCTCACAACATAGGCAATATTAGGCTAAGTATAATTCATTAAGAACATTAGGCTCCCGATCACTTTAGCATATTTAGTTTGGGAAAATCTACTTCCTTTATTCTTAAAGAGATGTATGCTAGGGTTATAAGGAGTTCGAACAGGGATGACGTCAAAACTGTTAAATTTCTTCAATACTTTCTCAATATAGTATGCTTGACACAAAGAAAAACCCTTTTCAGTTTTGGTAACTTTAACTCCTATGATTAC